CCAGAGCAGAGGCTGTATCTCTTATGGTCCAGGGACACGCAGTGAGGCCTGATGGGGGACTCCAGAACAGAGGCTGTGTCTCTTATGGCCCAGATGGTTGTGGTCAGTGCATTTATACAGCAGTGATATTCCACCAGACCAGGAGAGGGCAGATATATTGCAACAAACACAAACACAAGCAGTGTAGCGAAACGGGTAAACTTTTATGAACAGTTTTAATGTTATTAGTCAAGATTTGGGCAGTATTACAGTAATAAGGCATACCACAATATTTTGAAATCCTAAACAAAATTAGCCAGGACTCCAACACCCCGAACCTGCTCAGCGAATTTCATTGCCAAGATTTCAAAATGCTGGAATAGTGCTGCTTTTTAATGTACTGTATACATAGGTAAAATGCCAGGACAGTAGGAAAAATTAGATATGCAGTTACCTCCGCACTTCCTCATACAGCCACTCACCATAACTACTACTACAACAGCTATTCTTCCTCTGCTCTTTTGGGGTTGACCGCTGATCTGTGCAAGTCCACCCTGCCACCTACTGGAAATACCTAATCAATTATCTTGCACATGCCTGGGAGATGTGCAGAGGTCCCCAAGGTTTCCACTAGACATAAAAATTTGAGTCCGCAGGCAACCCGTGATGACAAAATTTATGTCACATCCCCTCATCCGCAAACGAAAGCACACACGCAAAAGTGAACTATGAATTGGCCTTGACAGCCTCAGGATATACGGTGAACACTGAGGGTGGACGCTGTGTTGCTAACGGCCACGGGGACATGGTGAAACCCAAGGGGGGAATCCACAGCAGACATTCAGTCTCTAATGACCATTGGACACGAGGTGAAGCCCACCCGACCGGTTCGGGCTAGTGTCTCTCAGGTGATGAAGGGACGCGTCAACAAGGGAATCCTGTCAGCCAGCAGAACCACCACCTCGCCACACAATGGGCACCATGGATACGGGCTCCAAACGCAGTAGCGGTAACTGGGGAGGCTGGTAACTAGCTGACACTGAAACCAGTGAGCCGCCACGCCCCTCATCAGTGGGAGGAAGGGATTGTGGTACCATCCCAATCAAGAATCCACCCATGGATGGATGGGTCACACACCACTGACTATGAAGTTTTTTAAAATAATGTTATATTTGTGAACACAACTGAATAATACATTTTACTATAAAGTTAAACAGCTGGATGTTCTCTACACATCAGCAATAAACTATACTTTTCAGTCCATTATCAAATATTTTTCAATATCTAGCAATGTTGGTTGTGTAGCACTTGACTCACACGGCCCTACTGGAAAGCGCAGAATGCAGTGAGACGCGCAGTGTGAGGATGCCAGTCTGGTAAGGAGCAGGACGAGGGGGGCAGGCGACCCGCTTGCGTGTGAGCACTTTCAGGAACGTGCTGAACTTTCTGGATGAGGCGGTCTCTCTCGCTTGACTTCTTCGGCACGCACACACTGCTTCCTAATGCCTATGCTAATGATAACAGCTTACTCCATCGGGGAGGAGCAGGTGCCACACATCCTAAACAAAGGTGGCTCTAGCAATGGGTGCCATGGCAACAGGGAGCGTCAGAGTGGCCCTGCCTCTTCAGCAAATGAGTCACGGCCTGATACACTGTTCCAGGCCCTAGGAGTCATGGGAAGGGCGTTGGCCAAGGTACACCAAACAACATACACTGGATGGCGCAAACCCAGCAAGAGGCCACCACGGTGAGCAAAACAGAGGAAGGAAACCCTATAAGAGAAACACATTTCCCAGAATTCTCGGCCCAGTGGTGACCGGCACTGCAAACGTAGATCGAAAAGCTTTAAAAGGGGGACTGCTAAAAGCAGGACTGCGGAAACGGGGAGCAGCCAGGAGGTGCCACAGGTGAAGAGGAGGCGGGATGTAAAGCCGGCCACAGGAAACAGGAAGGACTGCAGCGCGACAGACGGGATACTCATCTTTCATTACATGTACATGGTTGATGGAGGGAAGACAGAAGAGAGAAAAGGAGCCCCCCCCTCCCCCCACCCCTTATATGGCACATGACAACACAGCCAGTACCGTTGGTGGTTTCCAGTTAATTGCGTCTAGTTAGGAAACAGGAGATAAGGGAGCTGGGCTGCATTCACAGCTGGATTTGGGGGGGGGGCTGGAGATGGACTGGGGACTTG